AATTTTTTTTTAAAATTTTGTATTTAACTTTATTTTTATTGTGACCAGAGAGGGAGAGGGAAAGTGCGAAAGCAAGCTGCCAGGTCCGGGACTTGAACCGCAGTCATCCACGTGGGAGTCCAGAGCTCTTAAGCATCACGCCACCTGCCGGCCCCCTACTGTCTATTTCTACAGCTACTTAGTTGCACGCACGGGACAGACCTGCAATTAAATCCATCATTCTTTTTTTAAAAAAAGAAAAGAGAAAGGAGAGAGAGAAGACACTGTCCCTGTGGTTTTTTTTTTAAAAGAATCCGCTATTTAATTGTATTTATTATTTCTTTACAGAATTATTTTATTGAACTTGTTTACTTATTTATTTATTTTTAATTTGACCAGAGAGGGACAGAGTGAGAGAGAGAGAGAGGGAAAGGGACAAAGCCAGCCGCCAGGTCTGGGACTGGAACTGCGGTCGGCCACGTGGGAGTCCAGAGCCCTCAACGACCGTGCCACCTGCCGGGCTCCACGATTTTGTTTTTGTAAACACCCCATGCCCAACGTGGGGGGCGGCGGTGGCCACACAGAGGGACCGTCCTGCTCCCTGGCCTCTGCGGTGGCGTGGCCTCACCCGAGATCCATTACGCACCCGGGGACACCGGCCGACCCGGCCTTGACGCGGGTCCTCCCCGCCCTGTGGCCGCCCGCCTGGTTTCCAGGCCAGGACAAACGGAGGTGGCTTGCCCCTCTCACGCCGTCCCTTGCTGGTGAGAGGCTGTCACCGCAGCTCCCAGCTGACCCTGCGTCCACTTCTCACCCCCCGTGGGCGACCCTCCGGCCTAGGACGGCTTCGCCCGGTCTCCCCGGGTCACAAGGGGGGACCTACTTTCCCCTCCGTTGCCTCACTAACCAATCTTGGGACAGACGCCAACCACAATGCCCCTAAGTGCGCTCAAATCAAAGTTCACGCTCTGGGGGTCGGCAGGGGGCATGAGGGTTCAAGCACCGGATCCCGCGTGGCCAACGTCACGTCACCACGTGGTGGCTTGAAACTCACGCCGGGCGCGTGTGCGTGTGCACCCAAATTCCCAAGAGGAGCGTGGAGGAGGGGGACCGTGCACGGCCATCCCCCTGGGGGTGATTTCTCGCTCTCCTCCTCTCTGTCTCTGTCTCTCTCCGGCAAGCACACACGCCCTTCCGCAGAATTGTTTTTTAAGAAAAGAGGGCAGATGTTTGCTTCGTAAAGGGAGAGCACTTCGCGTTCCAGGTAATGGAGAGCTTCCCCAGACTCGGGAAACTGCCCTGGAGCAGAATTCTGCAGAAAGACATCCGCCCAGGTGCCCGCAGAGAGCCACCCGATAGGCCGTCTGCCAGCACCGCCCGGGGTCCGTGTAGACACCTGAGCCCGCCACGGAATTCCTGAGCCGTGGGCACGGAGCAGA